AACCAAACAATTGAATTTACAGTTGAAACAAAAAGGAAGAGGTATATTTTTTTGTTGTCCCTTTCACGATGATAAAAATCCTAGTTGCAGTTTTGAACCCAACCGAAAAATATTTACTTGTTTTGCCTGTGGCTTCAAAGCCAAAGATATTTTTGATTTTTGAACTCAGTATAAAAAAATTAGTTTCGAAGAGGCAATAGAAGAAATTGGTAAATTAGGTTATTTCAATTTAGAAGAAAAAGAAATAATGGCAATGAGAGGTAAACGAGTAAAAGAACTAAATCACTAAAATAGATTAATCAGTTGTTGTTTTGGTCTAAACCCATTTAAATCTAAATTGTTATGAAAGACACTTTATTATTAATCCTTATTGTTTTCAATATAACTGGTGTGCTTATCAACGGAATAGTTGTTTATCTTTTCTATACCACGACAAGGAAAAAGCCAAAGAAATATAATAAAAGCAGGGTTTAAGGTGCCTTGTTTTAATTTGGAAGATGGAACTAGTGTCTTATCAAATGGAGGCATGCAAAAGGCTCTAAAAATAGTAGATAGTGGTGGTAAATCACTCGGCGGGCAAATGACCAAATTTTTAACTCAAAAATCCCTCCAACCCTTTATAAACAAGGATAAAGATAGTAGTTATTTAAACCCCATTATTTGTTGAAAGGGAAGACAAAAAATAAATGGTTATGAGGCAGAAAAGACACCGCCAACAAGGTAGGCAAATTTTTAGCCCAAAAGTCTATTGAACCCTTTGTAATGGAGAGAAAAGACACCGCCAACAAGTCGGCTCAAAAAAAACATTGTTCCTTTCATCATTTAGCATCTTTTCAAACCTTTTTCTTTCTAATTCTAGGTTTGTCAACTGTATTCTCATTTCATTCCCTTGGGTTTGGTTATGAATTTTATCCTCTTCCATTCTAGCAATTCCCAATTCTATTACTTCCAATCTATCTAAAATGTCTTTGCCACCTCTGCTATTCTTGTCCACGATTTCAGTAGTAGTTAATCGGTCAGATAGAGATTTGATGTTGTTTTCCATCTCTTCTAAATCAATCATAGTAAGTTCGGTTTGAGTTCCCACATCTACCATTAGGGGTTTTTTAAGCCTCTTGGCTACTAATTTTAATTTGTCTAGTGCTTGTTGATGAGTAAACATAATATTTATTATT